TAGCCTTGTGCATCTTTGCTGTGTAAATGACCCCTTGTCTTCTTCCTTTTTGGTGCTTCAAGCCATCCCTATATCCCCCTTCATTTTGAAGAAATGATTTTTCCACTTGTATATACATGTACCCATACGTCGTCCAACTGCGCATGCTCCAGTATTACGCGCTACTTTTTATCCGAAAGGGATTTCAACATTTTCATAATGCTGCCTGAATCGAGCGAAATCAGGGGAAACGCAACACCTCCGAAGCTATCGAGTATTGCTGCACAGTCCAGCGATAGATTTTTCGACATTGCCACTTGTTCCCTATTCCTGCAAGACCAATCAGATTGCCGGATTATGCCTGATTCGCGCTGTCGACTGACTGTTTTTGACTCGACTCGAATTGTCTACTGCGCTCGGGTCGTTTCGGCCTACTTGGTCCTGTGCAATGTATCTCACTGTTTTGTGCACACACAAGAGTGACTCATACGATTAGACCCCAATTGTAAGCGCGCTTCCGCTCGCCAAAAATGCCATGCATTCGCCTACTAGTATACCTGTATATGTACACACGTGCAAGGAAGATATGGGTTAGTGTATAAACTTACAATTAAGTTGAGTTTATTGCGACAATAGTGAAGCTGCTGATGGAAAGAGGTCAGTCCTTCAAATGGCTTGGTAACAGGACCAGCGGACCAGTTGAGGGAGTATTAGGTGATGTGCTGCTAGGAGGCTGAGTAAAGAACGGACCGGTACGTAGGTATATACACCGATAACACCCACCCACTTACAGTGTCCAGTTTCACAAGTGTTTCCGATATCAACCGCTTGATTTTCAGACGGTCGCCAAGAAGCGGAGCTATTTCACGCAGATTTTCATCATTTAGACTCAAAAACACTTCCCCATCAATCTTGTGCTCAAGGATGTTGTCGAGGATGCTCTCCGAGAGAGAGGGAATTTCCTCCTTGAGACGCAGACGTAGAGTGGTCGGTGAGAGCCCGTCAAACCTTCGTGCCATCTCGGGAGGAAGAAATCGTTTCCGTCCGGGAAATGCGCGTTTACAGGATTTGGCGCGAAAAGTGATTGGCAGGGGTCGGGGCAAAGCGGTTGATATCGGAAACACTTGTGAAACTGGACACTGTAAGTGGGTGGGTGTTATCGGTGTACCTACGTACCGGTCCGTTCTTTACTTAGCCTCCTAGCAGCACATCACCTAATACTCCCTCAACTGTTGCAAGTGAGAAGTATACTTCTACACCATGCGTTTCACGGACATGGATGTGTCCACGTCGTTCCCTGACTGATACTACCTCCGCAGATTCGTAAGTGGATGTCACTTCATGCAATGTTACTGTGACAATTATGCTGTAGAGTTGATGACTCTCCAACTCCTACTCCTCCATCAACCCTATCGTCTGCTGTATTGTCTACAGATTCGTTTGTTTCTATTATATATAATATAATCATTTCGCCATTTCTATCTTTTTAATTCGGTATTACCATCCCTCCAGGCTATCCGTCAATATCTCATACATCACAGGATTAAAGGAGAACTCTCATATCTAGGTTGAAGGACCCCTCTGAGCTATTATATCAAAGCAAGACACTCCATCCCCGTCATGTTCAATGCACAATAATGCTCCTCTCATAACTGAACTGTGTTACTGCATACTTGCAACAACATGTCATCTTGTTACTGCGATAAGTACTAATGAACTCATATCAGATACCCTTCATCCAATTTGTTCATCTTATATTCAATTTTGTAGTTACATTGGAACCTCATTAATACAAAGAAGGACTGAGGAATTCATTAGCTCATAATTGAACGTAACGCAACTTCCGGGGTACATTCCTCTGCCATTTTGTTCACATTTAATAAGTGCTGAGTATTTCTGAAAATTGGAAACGGACTTTCACTTGGATGCTGTTGTAAGCAATGCAAGGCAGCAGGTGCGGGACTGCATGTATTGACGGCCAAATATTCCAGCCCTATCTTCCGCTACCTACTGAGATGTAGGCTAGCCTGTGTTAGGCGACAACTGACAACGCATGGCCCAGCCCACCTACCTTTCAAAACTACGAACATTTTCCGCCGAGGGTTTGCACTTTAGTGACTTTTCATTGCCTCAGTCTGTTAGTCGTCATCTACATTTTTATTTCACTTCCAAAGTAGATAAGTGTACAAAGTTATAGGAAAAACAGCACTTAATTTCCTGGGGCTGTTTGTTGTTGTTTTCGTAATTTCTGTTTCGATGAACTCTCACCATGGTACATCAGTGTACCAAGTTTCATTGTTAGAGGACCCATAATAAGAAAGTTAGAGGCACAAACACCATTTACAGGTATTTATTGCCTGAGGCTGTTTGTTGTTGTTTACAAACTTGTAATGTTTACATTTTGATACTAATGATGTGTTGCATGTGTGTACAAAGTTTCATCACTCTGGATATTAGCTTTACCCAGTTAGCACACTTTATTTGTCTCTATCATAATGTATTGCCTGGGGCTATTTGTTGTTGTTTACATGTAAACAATTGTTTACGAAAACATTAAAATGCTCTTGCACGACCTGTCGTGGATTACAATATCTGTGCAAAGTTTCATATCCATATCTTACCCGGTTTTGAGATACGCTTGTCTTAACTGAACAACAACAACAACAACAAGAAGAAAATTGAAAAGTGACTTTTTTGAATTGCAGTACCGATTATGCGATTTAAGCTATTTCTTGGATACATGCTCTTTGTGACGATGCAAATTAGTCTGATTTGTCAAAAGTTGGATCTGATTGAAATAGAAAGTGAAACACATGAAAATCTCAAATGTATGGGCATAATGCAGGACAACCTGTGTCATCCCTATATTAGAGAATCGGTAGACTCTCTATATAGGGATGACACGGGTGAAATCTCACGTGATCCGCGTACAAAACGACTAAAAACTCGGTGAGAATCACTTCCTAGGCCTTCAAAACATACTAGCAATAGTCTACGGGCCCATATCTACCTATACATGTCCCACAAGAGCTCATACGCACCTTCAGTCGTCCACGCGAGAATTCGCTCATACGCGATTTCACGATTTTCGTGTCATCATATTCTTCATCTTCTTCTTCTTCTTCTTCTTTAATTAAACCCGCTATCTCCTTACCAGTACCAGTTCAAGCACTGATTTTTTCACTGAAGGTCTCCAATTTTTGCCGGAGGTGTGCACGGACATCAAGCGATCGTTTCTTTCTTGCCGCTAGTCACTACGGTAGATCATGGAGCTCTTCCCTGGTCGACCTGAACGACGCCATTTGCTGCTTACTCAGCATCAGTGATCCGCGCGCATGCGCCAGACAGGGGCGTTGTCCAATGTGCTTGCGAGCGTATTCTACCGGGCGAGTGGGCAGACATGCAGAGGAACTGTCAGCCTCCAGTACCTTCTGTAAGTAAGTGTGCACATTTCCAACTGGCTATCTTGCTGTTGATATGCACGAAGAGCAACTTGCCAGAGTCTGCGCGGTGTTGCGCGAGCCTTGCGGGGCACTCAGTCAAATGGCCTTCATTGTTTGTCCCCCCCCCCCCCCCCCCAGGTTGTAGCCTGATTACCAAAGCCTGCCAATGAAACCACAACCATGTGGAATAATCTAATTACATCCTTGTTGAAGACAATACATGGTATCTAGCAGCCCCATTAGCTACTACTTTCAATTTGTCTATGGTAGTCTATCTACAACATAGCCATGAACATCAGAGTGACTGTAACAATAAATGCAGTGTTGCCAGAAGCTGTTAAAAATAGTGGAAACAAGTGGAATAATCATTTCTTCAAAATGAAAGGGGGATATAGGGATGGCTTGAAGCACCAAAAAGGAAGAAACAAGGGGTCATTACACAGCAAAGTTGCACAAAGCTACATGACACCATCCCTATATCTTTGTTTGATATTGTTTGATATTAAACTTTGCTTATAAACAATAAAACAAAGATATAGGGATGGTGTCATGTAGCTTTGTGCAACTTTGCTGTGTAATGACCCCTTGTTTCTTCCTTTTTGGTGCTTCAAGCCATCCCTATATCCCCCTTTCATTTTGAAGAAATGATTTTTCCACCTGTACTAAGTACTACTGTACTTAGTGATCAGTACTACCGTACTTAGTGATAATTATGTCAGTCCTTTCGGAGTTATAGGGGATTTTTGTTACTTTGCAGGTTCTTGAAAAGGTATCCCCTAAACCAGCAGAGGTTTCAAGAATGGAAGCACTTCGAAATAGAAAAAACCCCCGCAATGATCGGTACTTTCCATGTTAGTTGACTCTTACATCATCAAGTATTAGTGTTCTCCTTCAGCTGACAGGTGGTGTGTGGCTTTGAGGGGAGGGAGTAATGACTACATTCATGCAGTTTTTGCTAGTGTATGTACAGCTTCATAATGATCAGTGTCTCCATCAATATTTCTATATTATTACAGGGCTACAAGCAAAAGAGAGCATTCATCATAGCTCAGAGCCCCATGGTGTCCACAGCCAGAGATTTCTGGAAGATGGTCCATGAAAGGAAGTGTGGAGTCATTGTTATGCTCTGTGACTTGGTGGAAGATGGAGAGGTAGCAACACGTTTCATTGTTATATTATACTATGACACAAAAACCACAGGAGACGTGTTATCCAGTATTGGCCTCATACGGAATGGTAAGTTGCAGAGGATACAGTCGATCTGACAGAAGACAGACAGTGAGTTTGGATATCTGTTCGACTGAGTCCTATCAATACTGAGTGGTAATGGGTTTAGTACAGAAAGAACCCAGAGAAACAGGAACGGCAGCCACGAGATCAGGATAGCTAGCATGAAGGGCGAAGAATTACCCGACCCCACAGGAATAAAAGGGAAGAAAAAGGTCTTTCAAAAGAGACCAACGGGTGACGCGGCAATAAACCCAAGTAACGCCTAGACCCACGGTTAGTATAGACTTGCTTAAATTTCTCCTCTTGCTTTTATAGGGCAGTCTGGAGGGCTCATCAGATTGTACAGCTGCACATAACAACTGGAGTCCTGATGGTAGATGCAGCACTGTTACAAGTGTGATAAGTGAGATGACGAACATCCAGATCACAACTGGCAACCGTCACACCTATGTATGAATTTATGTTTGAATTTGTGTATGGTATAGCAAGGGTCATGTTTTATTACACCTGGTCAATCTAGTTTTAATGTGCCTTTAGATTACTCTGACAGATTCACGGACATAACAATTGCTTTTCTCCCCAGCATAATATTAATGCGCTCCAATTACATTTCTACCCTACTTTCCACTAAAAATACAGTGGAACCAAAGACAAATTGGTGCATGTGTATTGACCCTCAGAGGGTGTCAGTTGTTGGGGAGTTTGGTGGCTATTTCTATGTACTCTAGGTAATACTGGAATCTTTTATTCACCCTTTTGTGTCCGTTTTGTTTGTCCACGATCAACTACGGCATACAGTGTTGAGTCACTGTGCCATTTTTTAAATTAGGTATATTGGAAGGCTGGCAATCACTGAAAGGTCACTGGAGTTCCTCCATGCGGTCATACCTGCTGATCCTGTGTGCACATTTGAACTAACGCTTCGTGCATGAGAATGCTATATACTGCATGGATGGCAATAGAAGAGCTATGTAAGTTCAGCAGGTATTTTCTTAATTACAATTGTTACTATTAGGTTCGTCAATTGCAAAATCCTCACAGATGTGTTTCATGTCTGAGAATACACAGCAGTACATGGCCGAATCCCAGACATGTACTCTTTGAGTGTTGTTTGTGTGATAATGACCAGTAGGAGGGGACCATTGCGTTACCACACTGACCATCTAGAGTATCAGGTTGTCCAGGCAGCTATTTTATGCATATAACATTA